CGCAAATTATATTCATATACAAATAGAAATCTCTAATTAAAATTCTAATATATTTACACTGAAACAAATAATGAAATACTCATATTCATCGCAAAAAAGGTTGTCATTTAAATACAATAAAGTTTACTAAAATGTATCAACAAATCAATGCAACAAGTTCTACTTTACTAAACGTCATGCAAATATATAAAAACTAAACTATTTGTAGATGAATGAATATTATATTGGTTTTCATGAAATCCATGCACTCCTCCCATTATCCATATCATTGATTCGCTTCTCCAAAACACGAATATAAGCCACAGCATCCTTCACATCATTCTTCAACTCATGGATCTCATTCTTCATATCCTCATTTCTCAACATCAGCATTTTGTGACTGCTCACTAGTTGTATGTGCCTCCGAAGAATTGCCTGGAATAGGGACTGAACTGCCATACGAACCCAATCCATAAATGTTTCCTTGCTTGTCATGTCCTCCAACAGATTCATAGTATATTTCATTATCATTCACATTCTCTCCGGCTTGAGACAAAAACTCTCGCTGTAACTCAACTTCATCCTGCATAGTATATAAGTATGTATATAGTTCATAATTGCTATCATCAGTATATAACACAACATAGACGCACATGTAAAACATGGTATTGCTAATTGAATTCATTCAACCAAACTCATTCAAATAAAAAACTTACATGAACTTTTTGGGCTTTTTCACCAATAAACGTTTCCTCATCGTGATTAGTCGTATGTGTATAGGTGAATAATTCATAAAACGTCACCGTGCGTGCTCTTTTCCGCTTCTGCATATACAGTATCCATTTAATATAGTGTATATTACATTAAAAATATAACAATTAAAAATGACAGAGTTTCCCTACATATGCCATATTTTCCTTGTTAAAATGCAGCAATAAACGACTCCAAATCATGTATCTTATACATACTTACTGCTACAAACCAGTTTAAGAAAGTCATCACCAATATGTTTATACTTTCTAACGACTTAAAAGTTAAAGCAAAGAACTATGGACAATGAAATATATATATATATATATATATATATATATATATATATATATATCAACATGCAACAATAAAGGCCCTCAAATCAAATATCTTTTACATGCTTACTGCTGAAAACCGATCTAAGTCATCATCGATATATTATACGGAGTACTTTTTTTACTAGCACTTTAAACAAGAAATATGAATAACCATATATATATATATATATATATATATATATATATATATATATCAACACTCAACAATTAAATACATCCTTATAATTACATTCATGATCAGCTCTTAATACACAACTAAACAGGAGAAAAGACTCTACACTCAAGAACAATTCTTAGTACACAAGTAACAAACTGCATAAGTCATAAGATCAGAGCTGCTTTTGTGAAGTAAAATAACTATTAATAAATGTTATATGCTACTTCGTAACTACTCTACATCTTTTCTTTCATTTATATACCACTATATGGAGTGATTTTTTTCTTTAGGTTACTATCAACAACAAATGTTCCTACTTACGTATAGCAACACAAATAAAACATCAACAATGATCTGCACCGGCCACAAGGAACTTACAAGTAGTTCATCAACTTTTTTATGAGACATGGAACCAGTGGTATGTGTGGATGGAGCAGGTCTCTCTAGATCACCTCCACGCCTATTTTTCTTAGCCTGCAGTGACTTTTCCTGACTTTCTTCAGAATTCCAGAACTCATTCCACTTCTTCCATGTATCCAATGGAATATAGTTAGGCTTCTCTTTGTTTTTCATCCTGGATAAGTAGTCCCCATACCTTCCTTTGGCTTTTACTTCCCATGCAATGTATACTAAAGAAGTGGTTCTTGGGTCCCACTCAAAATGTTTCTATATTTTAAGTATATATATTAAAGCAATAAAATCAAGTTAAATGTGAGAAAATAGAGTTCGAAATAAAACAATTGAATTTAAAAGATTTCCTTACTCAATCTATAAATAACAATAACAGTAATAAGTCACTAAACTCCTCCGATGAGCTTGAAATGAAATAACATTAATTTAAAAACTTACTTTGAACTCCTCCCAATAAAACATAACAGTTTCATCTAATTGCGGTCAGAAACATGTATGGTTCTTTTAAGCACATAGAAGGTGGCAAATTATATGGCGTAATGATGATAGGCCAACAAGAATATTGTTGCCCAGATTGCCCAAACGGCTAAAACCCATCTGTACATAAACCTAATCGAACATTACGACTTTCAGCCGCAAATGATGGGTGGCAGGAATTAAAATGCTTCCAGGCTTCCGAATCAGAAGGGTGACACATAACTCCATCATTATGACCATGATCATCATCATGCCATCTCATAGCCGCAGCAGTTGTTTGTGAGGTGTTTGTGAGGCATAAAGCCTCTTTAACCTTGGAGTTAGTGGCAAGTAGTGCATTTTTTTGTAAGGCACGAGGGTTTTCTTAGATGAAGAACTATTTGATGGTTTATATCTCGGAGAAGTACAAAATTTGCATTGGAGCAACTCCTTATCATCACCCCAATATAGCATACAACCTTGCATACAGCAATCAATTTTCTCCACAGGTAACCCAAGTGTGCGCATTAGTTTCTTTGTATTGTAAAAGCTATCGACCATATTATTATCTCTAGGTAATCTTTTTTTAAACAATTGGCATATAGAGTCAAAACACTGCTCAGGTAAGCGATACTCTGCCTTGATATTTAACAGTTGAGCTAACGCAGAAAGTTGTGTCAAATCTTCACAACCGGGCCACAATTGCGTGTCAGCTGCCTTTAACAAATCAAAGAATTTTTTATCCTCTTGATTTGGCTCTTCATCCATACATCTATCTCTAAAATCTGGCCCTGCGGCATCAAATATCATTTCTCTGTATGTATTTGAGCACTCATGATCTTCGTTGAAACTAACATTGGTATTGCCCCCCATGGAAGTGGTGCCACTTGATTTTTCTCCTTGTCTATTCCATACATAATAGTCTGGGACAAAACCATATTTACACAAGTGATACTTTGTTGATTCAACATCTTGAAAATTAGTATTGTGGCACTTGGTACAGGGGCACCTGATTTTATTTCCAGACATGAAATCTGGCTTACTGGTTGCAAAGTCAATGAAAGTCTTCAATCCATTCACAAATATGGGGTTAATATGGCCACGCTCTGTTCTTCTTTCATACATCCAAGTCCGGTCTGTAGTGCTCATTATGAAATAACTATTTTACCTATATTTTACCAAATAAATAGAGCTTTCAAGATTCAATGCATTCTTATTAATATCCTAACAAGGAAATCAATTAATCATGACAAGCTAAGCACAATCATGTCTCTCCACTAAAACCTTAAAACATACTTCGTATATAGTTGATATATTCAAATACTTCGTATGAAGCAACTGTAATGTATGCTTAAATATACTATGCTCTAGGCAAGATACTTCAAATACTTCTGTATACTAGGCAAGTACAGAATATACATTAATTTAAATGTTATAAAATTGAGGGTACAATATTTCATATTACTGTACCGTTGCAAGATGCAAAATACAATTTAGGCTGTATACTAATATCCCGAATAAGATTTGTGTTGCAATTTTTGTATGAAGAGATACACTTCAAAAGAAATTGCGATGGGATGTATATATCACAATTTCTAAAGCAATAATAAAGTAAAGTTATCTCACCACGGTTAAACAATCGACTCAAGTTAATTCTGACGACGACGTAAATTAATTATGTAGCGAATTTGGTCACAAACTGTTACTACGGAATTAGTTTCAACGCTAAAACAGTTGTTAAATTATCCCCCCAAAACTTGGCGCCAACTTTTTTCTCAATTTGGTGAGTTTTGCAACCCAAATGTATTCGGTCGTCAATTACGTAGTCAAATTGCTATGGAATATGTGTCGTAGCAAATTCCATCACAAAATAGCTACGGATTTTGTTTTGTCGTTACATTCAGTCGCAAATTTGGAATTTTCTTGTAGTGTAAATCAAGCCCAAACCCAAAAAACCCCAAAAAAGAGGGCCGAACCGGGCCCGACCGGGCTGGTTCGCTTTTTTCATGCCTCGGAACCGCCCCCGGTTACCCCCTCGGGCCGGGCCTAGGCCTGGAACCGAAAACCGGTTTCCTAGGCCGGACCCGCACAGTACCGGACCGGTTCTCGAGCCGGTCGGCTTGAACCGGGTCCATGACTACTTGAAATCTTCACTTTGAAAAAATGATTTAAAAAACGAAGACCAAACTCCCGATCCGTCAATCAGACCGGACAGGGACCATTGATGGTTGACCAAACCGGACCTGGATCGCCCAATCCTCGAATGGAGCTTACATGGGTCGCCGGGTCTCGACCAGATCAAACAAAGACCGTTGGGTCATTGATCGAACCAGAAAAGGATCGTCGAGTCATTGACTACACCGGGATTGCCTGACTGTTCACCGGGCCGACAAATATCGTTGGATTGTTGACTAGATCAGACAGGTATTGTTGGGTCGTTGTCCAGACAAAACCGTTGAATCGTTGATCAGACTCGGTAGGGATCGTCGAGCATTGACTATAGCTCGTTGCGTCACACTACAACATTCTCATAGTAAGCTCATTTATCTAATTCATTAAAGAAAACGGATATCTCGTTTATTGTTTTGGAAAGTTGTTGGGTAAACTCATTTTCCCCTTTCTCCAGTTTTCATTAAAAATTTGTGTTCTCCACTATGTTGCACGGAAACGTGAAAATAATGAGGAAACGGGAAACGGGAAACGTCAACTCTTGCTCAAAAAAGGGTTATTTGGAGAGTTTCCAAAGAGTTTTTGAGAGTTTCCGAAAAGGAAAACGTACTCTTTCTCGATAGTTTCCGTGCTACATAGCTTCTCCATTTGTCTAGTTTTTGAATTTTCTAGAAAATTGTATTAATAAATTGAATTTTGTTTCTCTAACGCGTCACGATGATTTTCACAAAACTAATGCCAACAACTTCAAAGCTCCCCTCGGTTCAACTGAAAACGTAAAAGCTGGAGTGCCGTCTCGTTCTACACCACAGCCATGGCGGTGTCTGTCTCTGCGACAACACGAAACTGTGGCAGCACCGGCATTTCCTCCTGCGCCATCTCCCTAACCCCATTTTTTCAAAATCTCAGCTTTCCCTTAAATTTCAGGCCCATACCAATCAATTCATTCCACCTTCCAAGACTCAATAGAATACTTGCCATTTCCAACTCCAGAGGTAATGCTTCTAAAATGATTTTATGTATACATAATGTCTTCGAACTAAGTTTCCTGTTCAATGAAACATTTTGTGATCCACGAAATGGGTGTTGAAAAGAAACAACCGTAAATAAGAGTAAAACACGGCATTGTTGATGTGCACAAATACGAGTATGGTTGTTTTGAACTAAAATCAGGGCTATTCAGCTTTCAGAAAAGAAAATGGGTAGTTAGTAACTCTTCTCTTAGAGGTGAATGAATCACATTTTCAGTGGAAAACAACTTCGGTCAGGTTTAAAGATATGCGTTACTCCGTATAACTCAGTTCTAGGGACCTTTCCCTAATCCCTATTGTTCATTACTGATAGTTGATGATGGCCTAATTATTACTTATCCTCACTCTCTCCCCAATAAAGAGTCATATTTGGTTTGTCAAAGTACAAATTTATAATTCTGGCAAGGTGTACACTCTTTGTCTTGGTATCCTGTTCTTACTCTTAAAGATTATTATTTGTTTTTTTACTAATTTTAGATGATTAAATGAAAACTTGCTCAGTTTAATGAAAGTTTTACAAAATAGAATTTTTTTCAAGGTACAAATTTATATTTGGTTTGTCAAAGTACAAATTTATAATTCTGGCAAGGTGTACACTCTTTGTCTTGGTATCCTGTTCTTACTCTTAAAGATTATTATTTGTTTTTTTTACTAATTTTAGATTATTAAATGAAAACTTGCTCAGTTTAATGAAAGTTTTACAAAATAGAATTTTTTTTCAAAATAAAAAACTATTTAAATACGGTTATTTTTTTACATAGAGTTTCGTTATATTATTTAAATTGAGTTCAAACTTCACTATGTGATTAACTGTTACTCTGGCCTTTTTTGGTGGGCGAGGTAGGAACTGAGTTAAATGTTTTGAATGAGAAGAATGTGAATGTGTTGGACAATGTGGAAGTGTATGATTTGAGTGGAAAAGGAGTTCCTATTTCTGATTTGTGGAAAGATAGAAGAGCGGTTGTTGCATTTGCCCGCCATTTTGGGTAAAACATCTTCATTTACAGTTCAATAATCAAGAATTCAGAGAATAGTAGAAAAGATATATCGAACTTTCCCCCTCTTTTTTTCTAAAACAGTTGTGTGCTTTGCCGCAAAAGGGCAGATGATCTTGCTGCAGTTAAGGTAATAGTGGGTTGTATGTCTACACAGAAACCTGAAATATCCTTAATTTTATGTTTTTCTAAGTTGAAGTTGATCAAATCATTCAATTCTTTTTTCTTCTTGGAAGGATAAAATGGATGCTGCGGGTGTGGCACTTGTCTTAATTGGGCCGGGTAATGTTGATCAGGTGCTTATTACTGTAACTAGTCTGTCTTTCCATGTACCCTCAATCCCTCATTATTGATTTTCTTTTATCTGAACAGTATGGGTTGGTGTTTTGGATCTCTTGATACTTCCTTACTAACTCTATCAAGCTCTTTGATTTCTATATGTTTCAGTTTCTTATCCTCAAACCTGCCCTACGGGTATGTTTAGATCAGGGTTAGTTTAGAGCGAGAAAAAAATAATTTTTATAATTTTTTATATAATAATTTTCCATCATTTGCAATGGAGCCAAAAATTCATTATTTTTTAGCTTGAGAATATGATGCAATAAAGCAAAATGGCTCACTAAACTGTCTGCGCTTCTTTGTTATGAAGCAACAGTCAGTCTATGCATTTTTGGACGCGATTTTCACTATGGGTCATCCGGAAACAGTCTCTCTGTGCTTTAGTACAGGGGTAAGACTGCGTACATCCGACTCCCCCTTACCCCACCGTAGGTGGGAGCCTTTGCGGCACTGGGGTAAATGAAAATGAAATGAAATTAGAATTCAGTCTTTATATAATAGAATGAATTTATAAAATGAGTTTGAACAGTTATCTAAAAATAACATTAGGGGGGAATGGATTTTGCAAACCACTTTTCATTCAAAGCTGAATTGTTTTCACCCGCAATTTTGAAATCATTATTATTTAAACCCCACAGTTACAAAAATATGTTGATAATGGGTGCAAATCCTATTTGATAGGAAAACATTGTGCAAATTCTCATCTTTTGGGTGCAACTACCAATGATTCCAAATATACAACTCAAACTCAAATTTGGATGAAATAGTGGGGTGCAAACTCCAATTCTTCCATTAATTTATTTAGTTTAAGGGAATCTTTTTACTTTCCTTCAAATTACATTTCCCTCCAACTATCCTTTATGTTTCCGGTTTCCTTCCTATTCTCCTATCCTTAGTGTTTATCGAGTTCCAATCAGACCCTAAAGAAATGTTAGAAACCAAAGAGAAGAAAATGGAATCTGTATCTAGAGGAATGTTCTTGCACCATGATAATGAAAAATTAGATTCTTTTTCATGTATTTAACTGGTTATCTGGCCCGTTGATCTGAGTGTTGTCCTTTTTCTAAGTTCCATTCTCCATCATTTACGAAAGGTGTTTCTCTTTTCAGGCAAAGACATTCCGTGCACAAACTGATTTCAGAGGAGGTAAGATCATTAAGGATTTCAATGGGTTCTTCTTTCTACGTTTTTGTTATTTTAGTGTTTTCACATAATTTTTTATGTATCCTAGAAATTTATGCGGACCCCAGCCATGCATCGTACACAGCATTAAGATTTGTGTCCGGCGTGTCAACCACATTCACTCCTGGGGTATGTTATCATTTAAAGTTATATGGAGTATAAAGTTTTAAAATTTCCTTGCTGAAACAGATTTTTAAACTTTTAAGGTATCATATACGGAGTATATATTAATTCTAACCTTTCTAGGCTGGTTTGAAAATTATCCAAGCTTACATGGAAGGTTACAGACAGGATTGGGAACTTTCTTCTGAGAAAGATACAAGAGAAAGAGGCGGTTGGTATGTAATTATAGACCGTATGGTTGAAGTTTATTCTCCACTTAATTCTAAGTATGTATATAATTTGTTAGGGTACCATAAAACTCTCAAATCTACATAAGAAAGCATTTTTTCCTGATAATTTTTTTTTTCTTGTGTTGCTTTTTAAACTATGGATACAATGAATCCAAGCCTCTTGTGCTGACTAAATTTACAGGCAACAAGGTGGAATTATTGTTGCAGGTCCGGGTAAAACTAACTTATTGTACATCCACAAGGTTAGGTCTTATTCCCCTACTCTTTTTCCCTCATACCTCATATTTTCCCGTGTTTGTAACTTTGTATGTCCATTAACATATTACATATGGGCGGGAGATCAATAGCATTGATAATAGATGAATATTGATGATGATTCTTGCAATGTGCGACTAGTCGACTAATTTTTGCAAGATCAGCCTTCACCAACACAGCACCACCACTACCTGTTATCATTGCCATCAACATCAAGTCATCAACATACACTTCCATTAACCGTCAAAAGAAACTAAAGCAGGAAAAACAAGTTATAGAAGAGAAGATATCATCACCATGTTGATGTGTGTATCACAATATCATCAAATAACATATACCCCTAACGGGGGAAAATAAATAAAAGAGAACTTTGCTGATGATATCTAGAGATGAGTTGTAGAGGCATCACAAAAGGAAAGTGATTGTGGAAGAAATGAAGTGAGGAATCAAAACTTAAAAGGAGCATGTGATGTTTTTTGAATTGGCACAGCTCATTGACATTGTGTAAAATGTCACATTGACTTGACCCCAAAAATACGGTTGTGTATGTCTCAATCCAAAAGGCCAATGCCTTGACATTGGGTAATATATGGGTGTTACTTTAATGCGTTATATAATTTGCCTTAGGATGTTTTCCTTTGGACTGTTTTCAGTCTCAAATCAGATCAAATCAGACCAGACTAGACTTCCATAGTTATAAAATACACAGAGACCAGACATTTACCAGATCAGACTAGACCAGACCAACAAAATTCAGCCCAAAAGAAAACATCCTTAAATCACTAAGGCGTGCCTCAAAGCACAAAAACCTTGTGCAATTACAAACACTACCAAGGAGATAATGATAAACAACATTCAACTGACATATTTTTTTCTTGAAAGTCAATTTCCTACTTATGATGGAATAAAGCAAGATGGCTCACTAAACTGTCTGGCTTGTCTGCGCTTCTTTGTTATGAAGCAGCGGTCAGTCTATGCAATTTTGGACGCGGTTTTCACTATGGGTCATCCGGAAACAGTCTCTCTGTGCTTTAGTACAGGGGTAAGACTGCGTACATCCGACCCCCCCTTACCCCACCGTAGGTGGGAGCCTTTGCGGCACTGGGGTAAATGAAAATGAAATGAAATGATGAATGCAATTTCCTACTTACAAGGATTCCTTGTGAAAGTAGTAAGTCTGGTTATTATTTTTCCTTACCTGATGTGACCTTGTCAGCATTGCATTTTAAAGATTTGAATAGGGTTTTAGTTATTTTTGTACTCCCTGTCCCAAAGTAATAGTCATGTATATCCTCTTTGGGCTGTCCCAAAACAAGGGTCAAGTTTTCTTTTTGGGCAAATGATTTTACATGTCATTCATGTTTTACTCTTCCTTTTACCTAAAAAATCTACCTCTTGTCATTTCAACTTTACTTAATTTTTCACTGCTGCCATAAAAGCGAAGGATGATTTAGGTATTTTATACAGAGTACCATTTATTAATCTAAAACTTTGTCATTCCCACTTCATTTTATTTTTCCTAATCTACAAGTCCAAAGTCCAAACTCACTGTGTGACCATAGGAGTCTGGACGTAGTATATCATACCATGCTCCATTCTAATATGCAACCAAGTATTTAATTGAACACTTTGTGTGCAGGATAAAGAAGCAGGAGATGATCCACCAATAACTGATATCTTGAGGGCTTGTTGCATGCAAGGATGAATACTAATACCAAATGATTGCACATAAGATTTGTAATTACTTTATTACACATATATCTACATACAAGCATTGGAACCATAATTCCAAGTAATAATGTGGAATTACAGAATACATGTCTACTAATAATCTAATACCAAATGATTGCCTATGTAATTCAAGATTGTCATCTTTGCCCACAAATGATATCAGTCTGTTTTCCTACTCATTTAGTCGATCATGCAATGAATGGGATAAAGGATGGATGCATTCACTCCCTACTATCATAAGATCCAATCGAAACTAACCCATATATGGAATTCATTCATAAAATATTTCCCCCACATAAATTAACATGTTTAAATAGAACTTGGGGTGGGCATGGGCCCGGCCTAGCATGCCCCTCCCAAGTATACTGAGAGAGTCCAATAGGAAAATATATCTTCATCATCTTCACTTGCCTAACACTGTCAGATATTTTTACTTGGATTAAATTTGCTAGTCTACACACTGGTATGGTCTGAACTTGTCTGATCTCGTAAATGTTTGTCTATGTGTATTTACAACTACGGAAGTCTGCTTTGTTTAAGTCCAGTCTGGTATGATTTAGGTCCGAGTAAAAACATGCTACATCCGTTACATCTAAAACTTTATGTTATTATAGCATACTCCGTATAAGACAAGCTTCTAATGTCTGGGATAAATAAATTGAATTGCATGCTAAGTTTGTATGGATGCAAAATTGCTCTAATTTCTTTAATATCCAGAAGATGAAGATGCTTGTAGCAAAATTCATATGGCCATGTTTCTTAAGTGTAGCGTTGAACTCCCGTACACGGCCCACCATTGACTACAAATATTAAGAAACATTTATAGTCACATTTAGAAGATATTCCATTTTTGGTCCTCCGAGTTTTGCACCAATTCCACATTTAGTCCTCATCTTTCACTTTATCCATTTTTGGTACCTAACTATTGTTTTTCTGACCATTTTCGGTCCATCTCTGGACATTTTTACTACCGGAAAAGGACTATAAATGGTCAAGAAAACAATAGTCAGGTACCAAAAATGAATAAAGTGAAAGATGAGGACTAAATGTGGAATTGGTGCATAACTCGGAGGACCAAAAGTGGAATTTTTTTCTTAAGAAATATGACTCTTGAGGACCATAACAAAGGTTTAAGAGACTCACTGTGGAACAAGGTTTTTGTTAGTCTCACGCCAGAAATGTTTGAATCAACAGAGTGCTATATTAAGACATGGGTTACTCCTCTTATCAGATTAACCTTTTAGGATGGAACCCCAAATTTTAACATATTATAGTGTTATATTAAGACATGTGTTACTCCTCCTATCAGGTTGACTTTTTCTAGAATGGAACCCCGGATCTTAACAATTTTTGTGTAGCTTATCGTGAACATAATCATCTCAATATAGTGAAAACCAGACATGGAGATTCTTTAGTTTGGGGAAGACTAAAATATGAACAGGGTTTTACGTATTTTGGTCATCTAAAGAAAATGTCCAGCTTGCTAGAAAAATATGACCATGTTCAATTAATTCCAGATCTTCCACTCTTGGTCTATTTATGAATTTTGAATTCATATACGGAGTAGTAAGCTACCGAATTACCGATATTAGGAATAACATAGTACCAGCTAGGGTGATATAACATGTCCACTTTTTAAAAATTGATATACACGTCAAATAGCCCTAATCTGCAGAATGAGTTTGATGTGTCAACTGTTTGTGATATACTTTACTAAGTATATATTTTGCAGATTAGCACCTTCTGATTTGAAATTGCATCAAACTCATTTTATGTTATACTTCTTCCGTCTAACAAAATTTTGTCGAAATCCTTATTTAGTCGTCCCAAAAAAATTTGTCAATTCCGTTTTAAGTAAGAAATATGAGGTTAAAATTCTTTCGCTTCACTGCACAAATCTCAACCACACAATTTTTACTTTATTATTCTAAGGGAGACGAAGTGAGTAATTAGTAATGCGCTTAACTCTCCGGAAGAACAAATTTAACTGTCAAATGAAAGACATTTGGTTAGTGTTTTTGTATAACTAACTAATTTATTTGAAAATTTGGGTAGGATAACAATATAAACTTGAAATGAAATGAATGAATGTTTAGCCAATTGAGTGAACATTTATTTGATACAATATAGACTTTCATGAGATTATCAAATCTACCATCGTCCATATTTGTTACACTGCTATATTTGAATATTTGAAAGTAGACATGGACCCGGGTCGGTCTGGTCCCAATTCTGGGCCGAGACCGCCCAATCAAAAAAAAAATCTTGAGTCCGAGCTCGAAAGCTTTTTTCCAGGTCTGATCCGGTTCCAGGTACTCGACTAAGCCAGTCCTGGTTCTCGTTATTTTTTTTCATTTGTGACCGGAACGAAGCCTAAAAAATCCCAATCGGGAGTGGAACCGCCGGTTCGGTCACCAAAACTGTAAATCGAGATCATGAACCGCTCTAGGGCGGGCTGGTCCACACCTATTCTAGGCCTGAACCCGCTCCAAACGGACGCGGTCCGGTCCCAAACAGTGTCGGAGCCGGTCTAGATCGGTCGGGTCAATTATTGTTGGTCCGCTTTTAATGAGCTCAACTATCAGTTAATGCAAAAAAAAATATACACATCTCAATATTTTGTTCTCATAACCTATATTCACTTTGAGTAAAAATGAAAAAAAAATGTGTCTTTTAGAAGATCTTTTCACTGCCAGACTACCAAGTTACCATATCATAGTCTTTTGATAACATTTTGGAGAAACGGGCCACATACCCACAGACGCTGAATTGCTTATGGATTGTTCAATGAACCGTTTGGGCTTAAATGGCTGAAATCCGATCTGTTGCTATACATATTGACCATGGTCTTTGCTTTCTTAGAGGGGATGACCCATTGACAAGTCTAGTTAATGGCTGACAAGCTGACCTTTAAGCGGATTTTTGTGTTCAAAAGTTGATATAGACTTTCCCTCATTTCAAATTTGAGCGGCTAGTTGATATCATTTAAAAGTTAATCCAACTATCATTCACCTCCCTTAAGGTTTGATGTATTATCACTTACACCCCTACACTATCAAGAATGTACTTTTACTCCCCTCATTATCCTTTAATGATGATTAAGTAACTTTTAATTTACATTTAGAGAAAATTATTGATATAGTTCCATAATTTTTTATTGTGTCCACTTTTAATGTTGTAATTTTATTTAATCACAAATCTAATTGGATAATTAATATATTTGTCCATATTAAAGACTTTCCACTGGAAATCCAACCTCATAACACAAAAAATAATCAAAACTGACCACAAATCACTCGAGATAGTTCGTTTTATGGATTTGGATTTGAAAAATGACTTATTTGAAAAAGCCGACCACAACATGCTAAAATTGGTTAATGGACTTAGTTGAAAAAACCTACTGAAATCATTGGGAAGCATTTTAAAAAGGTTGATGGTTCATTTAAAAGATGAAAAAGAAGTATGGATGAAGATATGGATCTTGAGCCTCCGTAAATTTTTAGCACCAACCGGTCTACCTGTCTAGGTGTGGAACCAACCCGAACTGAAATATTATTTGTCTAGGTATGTGTCTACTACTAGGTCACATGTGAGCGTGATCATATTTTGTCAAGTATTATTTTATAAGTTATTATACATATAATGAATTTATTTTCAGTGAGAAGAAAGAATGCTTAAAATTAAAACAGGGATGTTAATCAATTTTTTATCTACAGTAAATTTTGTGAATGGTGAAATTGAAAACCAAAATATACTTTAGAATTAGTTTAGGTTAATTTCGGTTGGATTGTTTTAATGTTGGTAAATTTTAACATATTTTGTCCGGCTATTTTCAATTTATTTATTTTTAAATTTAAAGGCATAATTCCAACAATTTAGAGTGAGACTACTTTTGACCATTTTTGTTTTATTAGATTCACTTTACAGTTGAAAGGTTTTTAATACGGAAAAAAATTAATAATTATTCAATCAGGTATGTTATTGAATAAAACTACAACATTAAAAACGAACATAATCAAAAGTAACAGATAGTGTACACTCTTTTAATATGTATAACATGATAGTTAAACAAAGCAAAACATCTTGATCAGGTGTGACAAAGATGCAAAGGAACTCTACATATCAAAGTACAGGAAAATCTCTGATTGCTTGTTCACTCATCAAATTTAGAAGGTTGTCTTTCAAAAGCATCCACTCTTCTGTGAAGCCAACGACGTAGTGATTCCTTAGTTATCTTCAATCTTTGCATAAGTGCAGGTCTCCTTGTATGAGAATACACTTGAGATGTCAAAACATCTCTTTCCCTATTCCCCTCCTCGCATGAAGATTCATCCACAGAAATTATCATGCCGTAATTTCGACAAATTTTGTCTTTGGATCCCGTGGAAGCAACCTGAAGACCCAAGTCATGTTCCAAAAGTTTGATTATTGTTTCCTTAACTTCACTTTCATGCTCGGCCTCAGGTTTTGGGTCTCCCAATATGATTTGCACATCATCTGTAATTAAATCTCCTACAGAATGCACAGAAAAAACCATATTGGAAATGCCAATTCACGTTGAAGGTTTATTTTGCAAGAGAATTAACTCATTAAGGTTCTAGATGTAGAGCAAGGCTTTCAAGAGTTTGGTCTATATCCTCATATATGTTTGAGATTTCATGATATTGATGGATTACACAATACATGATCCAATAACCTTTCACTCATGTTTTACTTTTAGAAAAATTCAATTGGTCAAAATAAAGGATCTGGGATTAAATTGTACTTCCCCAGAATCTAGCAAATTTTCATATATAACCGTACTAAAAAACTTCGCCATTTCCTTTAAAGCAATACATTTGTAGTTAATAATAATCCTAACTCATTCTAAAAAAAATCGATCTCATTTATAACCACACAATTTCTTACTTTCTTATTCTACGTGCAAATCTACTCTGGCCAACCTTTATGATATGGGTTTAATGCACCAATCATCTCGTCATATATAAATTATACGCATTAGCCCTTGTGATTTCAAAACCTCATTTGTTATGCCCTTATGCTTGATCATGTGCAAAACCTCATTCAATGAAAAATTTAACAATTTGAAAATCATGTGTCTTAATATTATGATTGACTATGCAAATAAATTTGTCAAGATCTCTAAATTTTACAAAGACATCAACTATTTTCCCT